TGAAATGGTATAGAACCGTCACTGCAGACAACCAGGATAATGCATACATTCATCAAATTATAAGCTACAGAAGCACGTAAATAAGGTTCAGTACTGAAGGATTTTATAGATTTCTGCATACATCTGAATTAAAAACATCTGTAGTAAAAGCGTCATGCAACACTGTCTCTGTGGCGCCACCTGGAAGCCGATCATCTGTGTGTCTCCAGCCGTCCGCTTCAACAGGTTTCCAAAATTCACAGCTAATTAGCTGTGGCGTTCTCCAACATTTCCAACATTCATGGTCAATGAGCTCTGCCGTTGTCCAAAATTGCCCATCTTCCACTTGCCAACCACTGCTGACTTGGAGAAGCTCTATTTTTCAGGTCCCCACAATATAAACCTCAATTTTATAAAATTCTGTGACTGCAGTCAAGAAAACTAAAAATATCAAAAGCCTTGTATTATGTTTGGTTACTTATGCTTAAGTTTAGGGCTGGGTAGGGGTTAAGGTTATCATAGTTGAGATTAGGGTTTTTTTCCATAGAAAGAGTCCCCACAAAGATATGAATGCAAACATATGTGTGGGGGTTATGAATACAGTATATTACATTGTGGGGACCAATGGTGCCCACTATGTGATTAAGAAAAACTTATTTTGATATTGTGAAGACCATTTTTTCAGTCCCCACAAGTGGAAAATCTATTTTCGAAAAATCTGAGATTGCAATCAAAAGACAAAAATTGTCAAGTCTTTATTTTGTTGTTAATTAATATTTATTGTGTGTGCTTTATTATTATTTTACAGCATTATTATCTATAAATAAATGCTAATTTCAAGTATTCTGTGGTATATTTTCCTCAAAGCTATATGCAGAGTTGCTCTTAATTGTTATTTTTTTAACCAGTCATACAGAACTATAAATTACTCTTTTGAAAATTTGTGAACACTATGTGATGTCTCAGGATTTATGACACTGACCTTGTGAAACATTATTATATTCTAGAGAATTACTGTAAGTAAAAGACATTAAACAAAGAGTTCAGGTTGAAATATGATTGGATTATTGCTTTAATTCAATTTTCTCTTGGAGTACTTTAATACTTTACATATTATGATACTTATCTGCACATGATATTAATATCACTGTTCATTGATTTCAGTTGTCTGTGTGATTACATTAATTTAAAAAAATCTTCAGGCACAATGAATTACATTGTTAAAACGACATGCATTACACTATAAAAATAAAGTAAAATTAATTTAAATACACAAAATATAAGGTTTGGTTAAAAACACCACTGCAATGGGTTTGTGCCCCATCCTGGGTTGTTCCTTGCCTTGTGCCCATAACCTCTGGGATAGGCTCAGGACCCCCTGTGACCCTGAACAGGGTAAGTGGTTTCAGAAAATGGATGGATGGATGGATGGATGGGTGAATAACTTTGTTATGACCTTGTAAATATGACATTTGCATTGTAACATTTATTCAACCAATGGCTGATTGATCTCATATGAATCAATTACGGTGCTTGATTTGGCTCACTTGAGCTGTTTTTAATCTGAATTAAGAAAAGCAATAACCTTGCTAAGAATTCAGCTGGGAGGTTTCCCAAAAGAATAGCTATGTCAGGATTTGATTGTGGACTGGTAGTATAATAATCAGTGTGGATGTGTAGTCAATTCTCATTTTATAAAAAGTGTGTTATGCCTTTTAGTAAGGTACTTGCCCAGAAGTGTCAGTACAAGGTGGGTATAGAACCTTACTTGTCAGATTTAAGGTATTCTGGGCTAAATGTAAGGGAACAAAACTCAACGGCCATTTAAACTGGGGTTAATTAAATCCGACAAGTTATCCGGCTAAGCAAGAAGTCCTGCTTTTTGAAACAGGTCTCTGGTATTACTAAATGGCTTTCAGACTTGCTGTACTGAAACGTGGTTAACTTGGGTGTGACGTCATTCCCAGCTCCAACTTCCAACCTCCGAGTTAAATGGAACACAGCATTTCTTGAGGAGTGACTATTTTTCTTGAAACCCGCCCACAGAAGCCAGATTTGGGGAGCACTTTTGATATTCTTGTCACATGACCACTCTTTGCCATAAAGTCCTGTAACTCCACAGTTGCCATTGGCGTCTCAGCAGCCTCTCTCACCTGTTTCCTCCTCGGTCTGCCATCCAGTTTGGAGGGATGGCCTGATCCAGGTAGGGCTTAACTGTGCTCCTAGGGATAGATGGGGACTTTGAAATCTTTTTGTATCTCCTGGGGGGTGGGTAGTCCCTTTAAAAATTATTTTTCAGAACTGTTGCTATTTTTTCTTTCACTTGGATATTACCAATGAAATTCAGTAAACAAAGCTGGACAAATTCAGTTCTGTTTCGTTTTCATTTCAGGTTGTAAAGTGACAAAAAAAAAAAAAAAAAAAAAGAGTGATTTTTTGGACAGGGGTGATTATTTTCTATACCCACTGTGTAAAAATAAGGGCACTGCCAGGGCAGTCAGGATGATAAAAGGCTCCTTTCTACACCCTATTTGAGTGGCTGAGGTTCGAAAGATGTCTCAGATGCCTCGAATAGAGAATGGAAAGACTTAGGAAGAGCTTCATACCCTGGGCTGTAAAGTTCACAGTCAGTCACCTAAACCAAAAACAGCATTGGCTCCTCATCCTCCTCTTCTACAAATACTGTACAATCTGCCTGTATTTGCACATCATACATTCATATCTCAAATTATTCTACACCTTTTGTCGTCTCATTACTCTTGCCCTAATACACGTTAATATATTTATACTTTACATATCATCATACATCATGTGTGTATCATGTGTGATTGTGCGTATATACTGTATATATATATATATATATATATATATATATATATATACATATACACATATATATACACACATATATATACACACACACACATATATATACACACACATATATATATATATATATATATATATATATATATATATATATACACATATACATACATACACACACACACACACACACACACACACACACACACACAACACACATTTAAATATATACATAATATAAAAATTTGAATTTTTTATTTTTCATTTGTAGTTTTGGTTAGGTATCATATAACATCATTCAACAGGAAAACATATCATCACTGACCTTCTCAAGACTTATTTTCATCAGTATTTTATTCCAGCTTCAAAGGTCCACATATTTACAGTAAAAAGAAGTTAATTTGTGCAATTTGCAAACCAGCATAAATAAAGTAAATGTGAAAATAAGTGCATAAATAAAAATTTCTCATTGCATATTAACACAGACTGGCAGACACAAAATGCAAGTGACAACATTAAAACAACACAAAACAGAATAAATAAATAAATAAAATAAATAAATAAGCAAACCAAAATGCAAAATGTGAGCAGCAGAGAGAACATGCTTTACAGTTTGGTACACAGTATGGCTTGATGTTAGGATTCAAAGCATCAGACCGCTACATAGGTGAACACTTCTGACATAAAATCTATGCCAAAAGCAACTGTAGCAAAATCACATCAGTATAAGCAAACTATTGGTAATGTCTTTGGCAGAAAAGAAACAAAAGCAAACATCTAATTAAATTAAACATTGACAAATATGTCTAAATGACAGTGTGTTGTCATGTTCCTTATTTGAACTCTGGAAAAAGTGCACATGTAAACCCAGATTTGGTTTTTTTTTGTAATGTCAAGTCCCTTGAGGAAAAAGCAGAAATAAACACAGATAAGGACAACATTTTATTTACAGTTGCATAAACTCAAAGCTAGATATCCCTGAATCTTCTGTCTACCTACCAGGTCTTTCCAAGAGAGGGGAAATGGAGACACAGGTAAAATACTACACTCAGTCAAGTCCTGCACCAATGGTGACACAGTCTGCACTGTGCAGATTTCCCTAAACCAGTGGCAACCAGCTCTGGTCCCAAACCAGAAAGTGGTCAGTTTTTGTTCCAGCTAATCTTTTAAACAACTACCTGTTTTTCTCAGAAAAGTGAATCACTGAGTACCTGGAGCTTATAGTCACCTGTATTAACTGAGCATCTTGTTAAAAAAAACACAAACAAAACATGTGAAACTCCAACACCAGATGTGCCTGTGCTGGGGTTTACACCTTATGGCAAGATGTCATCTGAAATGAGCCAGAAATGGCATCTGCCAAAAAGGTACAAACAGGTAATCAGTTATCCATCTTACAAGCACTTAGTCTGATCAGGGTAACCTGGAGCCAATCCCAGGCAGCACAGAGCATAAGACCGGCGTTCGCCCCCTGACCAGGATGCCAGTCCATCACAGGGCACACACACTGCAGGAGGAAAACGCGCATAACATGGGCAGCACATGCAAACTCCACACACACTGAGCACATGTGAGATTCAAACCCCCCTCCCACCCGGAAGGAATGAGGCAACAGTTCTGTCACCTGAGCCAGCATGATACCTTGCATCCATTTCAAAGTTTTAAAAAATTCACCGCTCGTTGTTTAAACCTCCTTAAATCCACATATCTAAAATGACTAAAGGTATTAAAACTGTAATGGTCTTCGGCTGTGTTTTAAGCAGGCTTCAGGCTACAGAGGAGAAACATGCAGGTGATCATGTGGGAGGGAGACATATTACATTAGAAGCCTGCATCCTCGTTCTATTTGCTACCTGCTTGTTTCCAGAGGTCACCCATAAACAGACCTAGGAGACAGACATCCATCCGAGGTATCACTGAAACCCCTGCTTCAAATACCCACCAAGCCCGACAAGGTGATGGAAAGAAGAGATACAACAAAGTGCCTTTGGTAAGAAAGACCTCATATAGTAGAAAAATCGAACAATTAACTGTGTAGGATTTGAGCAGGACAAGCGCTTAGACGACACACGTTTACTGGATGTGATGCTGCAGCCAGGATGTGGTGAAGCCAAAGGTGAGATCGGGGCTCCGTCATGTACAGGAAGATAACAGGATCAGGGATCACGGTTGTCTGAGCTCGAGGCGAAGGCTACAAATCCTGATGGAGGTCACTGTGATGTTCCGGATCCGGATCGGCATCAGGATTTCCAGAACTGACTGTCTGTGACACCAGCTGTTGGTAGCGTGCCTGGCGCTCATAGTTCGGGTCAATATTAATCCAGTTGTTTGCCACCCACTTCATTCCACGGGTCACCACGCAGCCACCGTGCAACGAGTACTCGTCCAGCTCTCCCACCCAGCCTGTGGGCCACAGCCAGAACTCAGTATCAGTGAACGCTCAAAGTACAGCTAGAAAAATCTATCCAGCAGACCAAAACACTCACTGCCATACTCTTCTCACGAAAGTGATGGCTCACAGTGGTAAACATCAATGAACGCCTTACAGATCCCCAACCCTAAAATACAGGACTCCAATGTAGGGGGTGTCAACCTTTTGATGTTTGTAGTACAAAAATTTTACAGGTAAAAGAAGTGGCTCGGGATGCGCTAAAATTTGGCAAGTGGGGGTACGCAGTGTGTATGGAAATGTGGGAGAAATCTTGATACGAGAGACAGCATTTTTCAGGATGGGGTGATTCCATAATATACAGGATGGGAGACATCTCTGTCCCTAGTATTCCACGGCCTGGGGAATGTTGGCCAAGAACCAGTACCGATGGTAGCGCACCTCTACTCTACCTGATGAATATGGAAGCAGATGGATCGGTTGCTTTTACCTTTGCCGTCAGACAGGTAATTGTACCAGAGGACCGCTGTGCCTTTGATGGGCTTCACTCTTAGGTTGCCCTTGTCACAATGCCTCCTTGTATCCAGAAGGTCCACATCGTTCTGTATTAGGGCCTGAAGACATATGGAAATGAGTGAGGGAATGCACAGTAAATCATTAGTAAAACCTCCACAAAAACGAAAGCGAAAGCACGCAGTCACAGGACAGCAGGGACCCACTGTTTCCTCGTACGTCCTGTTGTCAGCCACGGGGAATGTCGTCTCTCCTCCTCCCTCCACGGTGTTCAGGTAAAACAGCACAGTGATGTACCTGAAGCAGTAATGACACATGCCATCCGCGCAGAACGTGAATATGCAGCAAAACTCACAAGCACTCTTCCCATCTTCCACTTTTAATAGCCGGGTAGACTTGTGCCAAACACCATTCAAGGCTCAGAGAGCTGTGGCTATATTTAAGTGGGACTCAGGACTGTGAGGTGACAAAGCGAAGTCTCACCGGCAGGAGGTCTCGAAGGGTGCCGAGGAGTTGGCCGCCAGGCGGGTGTGGGTGCAGGCCGTCTCTGGGTACACGGGGCCGCTGTCGTGGTGGGCGTGGTAGTGCCCCCCCTGCTCGTATCGCACCACCTGGAGTGGCTCACTAAGGTCGACCAGCTTGGGGGGCAGGCGGGTTAGACGAGTCACCCTGTGGTAAAACAAGCACCAGGTGATGGGATCAAAACATCACTAAAACAGATAAGCAGCCCCATGATCCCTGGTTTAACAGCATCTGTTATTCACAGAAATGTGTCTAAAGGTCATGTACTGTATGTACAGTACTGTGCAAAAAGGCAGTCAAAAGAAATGTCTATAACTATTTATCTGGGTAGTAAATGCACTTTTACTGAGCACATTGAACACAATTTAGCATTACACTATGTGAAAATTTAGATAACACGATAAAAACTAGTAGGAATTTCTTCTGTTATCATAAAGTACCAGATATCTTGTTGGATGGCTAGATGGCTTCCCAACGCGATTTTGATTGGAAAAACGATATGGGTATATTAGATGGTTGCTGCAAATACCGGGATGATTTTAGCAGAAGTATTCAAATGGCTGAGCTAACACACTTTCACAGGCATAATAGTATAGTTTTACATCAACATTTAAACATCATTATCTTTGGCTGCCTAAGACTTTGCACAGTGCTGTATATGGGAAGGCATTGTTCACAGGTGTGGGGTTCATTTTTCTAAAAGGGAATGTAAAGGGATTAGCAGAGCTAAACAAAGCAGACGAGACGAGAGGGACTCCTGACCTCTTCCTGAGCTCCCGTAACACGTGATGCGCCCCCTCGCCCTGGTACAGCCACGTGTGCCTGCTGTTGCGCACCAGCTGGCTGCGCTGAACTCCGCGCTGCTGAAGAAAGCGCTGGAAGGCGTTGGTGCTCAGCCTCTGGAACTCCTCCAAGCTCAGCAGGCCTGGATTTCGCACAGAGAATCCGGGGTAAGATACTGTGCCATTTGGGATTGAAAATTAATAATGGGGGGGGGGGGACTCGTGACCAGTTTGCAATAGATTCCAGTCTCGAACAGGATCAAATAATGGATTCCTACCATCACCATCTGGGTCGGCTTTCAGTCCAGCATAGATCTCCCGGAGGTTCTCTGGTGTCAGCCAGATCCCGTCATGCACACGGGAGTGGGTCAGAATCTGGCGGGGGGGGAGGGGGCAATTAGGGTAACAGGAACGTGCTTCCTTTGCATTCCCCCTGGCAAACCACAGCTCATGCTGGACAGCAGCCACCCACAGTGCCTCACACACCTCAGTGCCTCAAAAAGCCAGGCTTCACACCACGCACAGTCTGCACCTCCTACGCCTTCCCATCTCCGCCCACCTCCTGCAGTTGCAGACGTCCATCCTGGTTCAGGTCCAGCAGATTAAAGATCTCCTCAGAGGAAAGGTTCAACTGCTCGGCTATGTCCTCCTGACCCTCGGGCACCATCACCTGGCTCTCCGTCAGACCCTTCAGCTGAGCCAGCTGCACTACAAGGTGGCACTCCTCCTCGCTCAGGAATCCTGGAATCTCTAAAGGTACACAGAGATATACATTTACATTCTAGCGGTAGGTGAAGTTTGAAGAAAGGTACAAATGCCAGTTCAATAACGTACAAATTCTACTATCAGCAAGAGTTACAATAGTGTCTATCTACAGGATTATGCTTTATGGACTGAAAAAACATTTCTAAACATGCATTCCTGTTTGAAGCATTATCTCTGCAGAATGTAAAACTGCTTTTTAACTTGGAGGCCATAGCAGTGCCAAGTTACAGCTATTCAGATCACACTGTTTTGTTCTGGGGGGGGGGGTACAAGCAAAATGGCAGATCTTATGAAGAGTTAATCCTTTTAAAATAGCTAAGCTTGGGGAAATATTAGGAGGAACTTATTTAATATTCCATAGACATTGAAAGAATGGCATACCCTCTGTCCAAACAAAGAAACACATATTTAAGAGCACAAAGTCATTCTTAAAAGTGCTCTGCAGTACTTGGTGTACTTTTTAATCTATTTAATCTAATTTTCCCTAGGATTACAAAGACATGGTACAATAACAAATATGTGTCACTTTTATATTCTTTTATATTCTTCTATTTCTTCGACAATGCCTTCCTTGGGAACCCCAGGAGTAGAAGATTTGGCTTCTCCTGACCCCCACATCCTGTGACCTTGAGCTCATTCTCCTGCACCTTCCCAGCACCGCCCTCATTGGCCATGTCCTCCTTCGGGCTCCAGGCGAGGCGCGCATGCGCCCTGCGGAACGTCAGCTAGGGCTTGCATGCTGTTAAAAAGCGCACATATACGGCGACAGACCTTACCGAACAATAAGGGCTTCAGACTCAGCGTCCGCATCTCATGGACCTTGTTCGGCACCAGCGACACTTTTTGGACGTGTCCTACCTGTGTGTTTCCATCAAGGAAGTGGTTCAGTTTTTACGGAAAATGAAATAAATTGCGAGCAACTACAAAGATACAGATTAAATCCACCATGCCTCTACTTCCTAAAAATTTAATTACTGGGAAAAGGCATGCCGGGAAACGCAATATGTAATGGGCACCAGGCCTTACCCGGATCCCCTCGATGCGCGGAAGGTACATAGTCCGCTCTGATCTCGAATCGGGATCATGAAGATGAAAGTCGGGTGGTGGGTGGCGGTGGCTGTCCCTGGCTGTGGGCTCTCCGCCAACAGCGCCCGGTTCCACGGCGCCGTTGTTGTAGTGCACGTACAACAGCAGAGCAATTACATTAATGATGTAAACGTGAAAAAACACCATCACTACCATGAAATAAGACCGGGAGCACACATTGCTCTTCTGTAGCGGAACTCTCTCCCTGCTTATCGGTGGTAAAGTCGGACGTGCGAGCTCCTCCGTCACACTTTTCTGTGGCTCCATCTTCATTTTTAAACAAAAATGTTTTTTTTTTTTATGCAAAGTGTGCGTAAACTTCTAATTCAAGTAACATAATATAAAGTCATCAGTGACCAGGTCCCCAGCTTCCGTCGAGCTCTATATTGTATTCGGCGGTATAAAGATGATTTAGCTAAATTAATTCAATACTAAGCCAGGTATGCGCACATTTAGGTAGTTGGCGATAATTAATAAATAATGTTAACTGGGTGGTCGCAGTACAAATTACTGCGTGTGACAACTTGGCTCAAAATATGACAACACGGACATTATGTCACATATGGCAGGTAGACGCTCAAGTATTTTGTCTGCATTTTTGCTAATGTATACCCCTGTCCAGAAACCGTAGAAACCACCGGCTGCGCGAATAAACAGCTTTAGCTCGGCACGGCCAAAAACGCGGATTAGTCAAGATCTTGTTTACGTTGCAATTAAGAGCTTTCGGGGTACTGCATACATCCAGTGTCGAAGTCCTCTAGCGGTAAGACAAACTCATCTTCAGTTTATTTCTGACATATTCCTCCGATGATCGACGTCGCAGTATTAGGACCGTCCTAGTAGCCGACTGTATGTGGTTAACCGTACATCTTGCTGCAGCATACGAACTCAGGGTGATGAGACGCCATCGCCCTGACAACTGCGGCATCTCAGACCATAGATACTGTCCAAGAGGAAACTAGAGTCATCTACATCTCACACATAGTAAAAGAGTTGCTGCCCCCTAGCGCCAATCAGCCAAAAGCACGTACCAAGAAGCCAAATCATGATTGCAGCGCCCATGTGGGAAGCTCCGGTCTTCGTGGGTCACAGGGTTTGCAGGTACCGGGTGATCCCCCTCTGCAGTGACCGTCTGCTGTTTATTGTTAAGTTTATCCGTCGTTTGCATGATTCGTATAATTTAAACGTAGCAATTTAGTTGAGAACTCCTTACAATTCTTAAATAGTGAAAACATCAAAATGGCCTTTTAAAAATAGCATTGGGTTCAGGTAAATTATTTTTAACATTCGTAACTGTTAAAAGGTCAGTAAAGGTTGGTTAAATCTTATGATTAGCAAATTTATTATTCGACAAAGAAATTTAAAATGTTTTCTTTATACGGCAGCGCGAATTAGATTATACGATTAAAATCATCGAGATTTCGACTGCTACACTGGTTCCAATGCATTGTTGATTTAAAAAATTAAGGGCTTTATGAAACCAAAACTGTTAGTTACGTTTAGAGCTTTAAACTAAATGTAACGAAAACTAGCATACCTTACTCCAGCACGTGCTTGATTTTCATAGGCCCATTTTTTTCATATTTTTTGACACATGGAATTTTTTGAGCGGCCAATGAATATGTTTCTCATAGAGAACAAGTAATTTAAACGGCGAAAACAATGTGTTTTGCATCAAATGGCACATTTCGCAGCAGTAAAGGTGGATGCATTTTTGGCTCTCAGTCTGGTAAAAAAGATTTTTGAGTGGTTTAAAGTCATTTAGATGGTGAGGTTTTAAACAGAATTAAGTCATATAAAATTGAAGAATTACAGTATATTCCATAAAATAACATGCACAGATTCTAAATAGATGTACAATAATTATCTTTTGGAATAAATAAGCACATGTGTACTTCCATGATTATAGGTTTGAATCCCTCCTCTGTATGTATGTATGTGTGTGTGTGTGTGTGTGTGTGTGTGTGGAGTTTGCCTGTTCTCCCGTTGTTCTGAGGGAAAGGCTGAGCTTCCAAACCCCGCAACCCTGACCAGCGTAAGTGGCAGAAGATTGATGCTTATTGGAATGTGAGGAAGAGTCCGTTTATCTTGCCTGAAATCGAATTAAAACGAAGACTTCTCAAGCTCTATTGTCGGGACCAGTGGTAAGGCAAAGTAGAGCCAAGATATGGCAGTAGAGGGAAGTAAAGACGATTATTAAAGACATTACTGCAATTCTAATGATTTATAGAACATTTAGCTCGGGACTGCAAAGTGCATGTTTCATTAATACACGTCCTTCTAATTTCATTCTGTACAAGTAATATTTTTCTTAATACTAAGTAATACTATTTTTTCAGTCTCTCTACTACCTTTTCGTACCAGCTGCCGATATTGTCTTGGATTTCATCTGATAAATCGAGTAATTAGAGCCATGTGAATTTTAACCGTTTGTGTGTGGAATTACACATTTTGTATAAATTCTATTAGTGTGACTTCTCATTCCGCCCTAAGAACGACCTCTTTCTCGTATTGTGTAGAAAATGTAAATTAATATGTATGTTAAAACGAATTGTGTAAACGGGTCACGACTTAGATTAGATGGGCTAAGTGCATTAGGCCTGTATTTAACGCAATGGCTTTTGCCATTCTGCCGAAGGGGTACCGTGGGTCATTTTAATAACTGTAATAATGCTATGCTATGGCGACAGGCACTGTGTAAATCCTTCAGCTGGTCCTTCAGGCCGCCTTCCCCCTTTGTATTGGGGAACATGTACTGTTAGAAACCCTTGTAAGGCCAGGCTCCGATGGCTGAGCAATATCCAAATGGTTACTGTTTGTCTTTTATGACTTAACTTAATTTCAGTTAATGTGCTTGTTAGTATGCCAGGTGAGTTGTTGTTGTTTGTCCCTTTTCCCTTATTAGCTAAAGCAACTTTTTTGTTGTAGTACCAGGACAGATGGGGAACCAACTCTGGGTTGGTATGTTTGAAGTATAGGCCTACGCTAGTGTATTGATCTATCGATTATTGCGTGTTTTGATGGAAATATGTTTTCCTGCAACACTACAGATGAAAACTCTTAGGAGCAGTTATGAAGAAGTCTGCTTTACATCACAGTAATAGGCTATATATATTTTTTTTCTAGTATACTTGAGACTGCAATTCATTTAATTAGCAACAAGCATTTTTTTCTGACAGTCACAAAGTACTATAAAATACATGCAAGAAATTGAATTCAATTACTATTAATAACAGAAACCCAATTACTTAAAGCCGAGGACGAATATGAGCCCGGTGATAAGCCTGTTATTAATTCAGTACTCCAGAAGAATGGAGGAAACAAAAAAAGCAGTCGTGCTATAATCGACTAATAGGTGTTTATTTAACCAGTTGGAGAGGCTATATCTGATCCCGATCAAGTACTTCCACACACTTAGAAAATATAGGGTTTCTGGCATGCGGGACGCCTGAGCACACCGCCCCCTACCGGCACTCCCGGCTCACGCAGGCTCCTTTCCCCTGTGATGCTGTATTATTCGCCGGGATCCTGCGCCTGGTTGCTCAGGTCTTCCAGCGACAAGAATGACTGTCCTCTTTAATCTGACAGTCGACAGCGGACAAATGGGAAAGTAGCTGCGTTGGGCATCGGATGCACGGCGTTTAGCGGACGCCAACATTGTAGAAAGAAACAGGATTTTTACCGATTTTACGGTTCGGTTCAGTCTGGACCTGTGTTAAGTTGTCGCAGTGGATTTTCATTGTAGACTGTAACGAACCGTACAGTACTGTGGTACCTGGCTCCTTGCGATAGTGCGGATCTACCGGCAATACACGCAACATAGACGAAAACTGGTAAGTGGGGAAACGCGCATCCGTTCTTCTGAACATTTCATTCCATGATCCACTATTGCGGTTTCGTGACGCCTTTTGGGGGACGGCAGGGAGCAATCGGATGGCTTAGCGGGCTAGTTTGGCATGTGTAAAGTTTGATTAGCTAGTTAGAAATATATCTCCGCCGGCAACTAATGTGTTTTTGTAGTGGTGTGCAAGGTTGTTCTGAGAAATGTTTTAGGGCTTGCTATTGACTTAAGCCGTCCTGCCAAATACTGTAACCTATGGGAGAGGCAAGCACGTAGCGAGCGTCAATATTCGCTGTTGGATAAACCTTTAAAAAAAGGTCGGGACATTTTTGCATTTTGACCATGTTCTCTGACATTTCCTTACATGACTAGATGGCCTGTAATCGATATCTAAGCATTGTATTACATTGCTCGTTCAGCATCCAGATGGCAGGCTGGGTGCCACTGACAGAATCGAGCTCATCCTAGTCGAAATTTCAGTAGAATTTTCCACTTGAAATTTCCCGTTTTTTGACAGCTGAAATTGGCTGCTTCGCTTGGATTAAGCTTCAGTTACTCCTTTCCTGGTCGGCTGTTAATGCAGACCGGTACTGCACCCCCGAACCAATTTGTAACTAATTGATTGAATCCACTTGATACGAATTCATTCACACAAGCGATCCGTTCGTGTTACTTTAAGCTTGATTGTCTTTTGTTTATTTATGCAGTGGAACGTAACTTTCTTTCCTGTTTGCATATTCCTTTCTTTATTATAGTTCATGGACGTTCTAGTATATCTGCTGCTTAAGTCATTAATTAATTACTTGTTTTGAACATTATGCTTGAATAAAAATTAAACCATATATGTTTTTTTGAGAATGAGCTGTTTGAATTTCATATAAGACAAAGTATTCTAAAATTTTAGACAAGGTATGTCTTAAATGTCCTATTTTACACAATTCCATTCTTTTATTTATTGATTTCCTTTAACATTTTGTTTCCCTAGAAAACCAAAGCATGTCTTGTCGTTTGTATGTGTCAACTTGTGGTGAATTTTCACTAATGCACTTTGCACAGAGGTTACTGTCCCTGTTAGCCATCAAAGCAGAAACCGCGTGACGTCCACATTCCCGGCCCCTGCACCACCTGCAACAATCTTCTACATGAGGAGAACATGCAAAGTTCTCTAAAACACTAAATGTGAACCCTGAATTCTAAACCCCTCACTTTTACACTTATTAGTGAAAAGTCAGTGTTGTACTAGGAACTGGTTGAGGTTCCTAATCAGAATGACGCTGTAGGACCCTCTCCCCTATGACCAAGCCATTTTGTTTGAGCACTTTTAAATTCCTGCTTGATGGCCACTTTGGCCACATTCCAGAAGCCAGCAGCGATTGGTATGTGGATGAACGGATGCCCTCAAATTCCACTCTTTCTCCTTGGGCCATGATGCATGTTTAATATATCAAATGGCACGCCTACATCGATTGAATTAAGGGTTGCTGTGTTTAACAGGGTCTCTGGGGTTTGCCCGTTTACCTTATTGAATTAATTTTCCTTTCCTATAGGACGCAGCTCATCTCAGCCATGCGCCGTCCATAATCTGATCTCCAGGTCATGCTTCTGGCAGCCCAGGGCCATTATCTCCTCGCTCCTCCTTCTGCTTTGTCCTCCCTTTGCCTTTTTTCCTCATGCCATGTAGCTGGTTTCACCATGATCTTCATCATGCTGGGCCCTGCTCACATCGTTCACGCATCTCCTCCAGTTTTGTCCGTGTTGCGTGTGCACATGCGTGTGTGAATGCATGTGCCTGCATGACAACGGACATATAGTGCTTGCTCCAGACATATCAAGATTTTAGAGATTGAAATCCTCAGCATCATCCTGACATCTTGTGAATCTATCTTTAATATATTTATATATTATAAAGCACATGCAGTCGTATATGTGTAGATGTACTTCGGCATGTCTGGTTTTGCCGGCCACTGCAGTGCAGTCGCCCGTTGTGCCTCCTGTTTGGCAGCTGTTTGTTGGCAGAGCACAACGCAGGAATCTGCTACCAGCACTCCTCAGAGTGACCGCCGGCACTGAGGCTCACTCTCTGTCCCGCTCAGACATGCAGAGGCACCCAGACCTCGTTTCGGTCCCGCTTGTACCAGAGAGCCGCAAAGTCCCGCATCCCAGAAACCGAGAGAGAGCCGCCGGATCTGGGCTCGTCGATTTGAGCCGAAGTCGTCCTCCGCATGCCTGAGGGCACTGACACAATTCTCAGCAGATGGGGCTCCCGCTTCAGCATTGTCTTTAGTGTAGAAGTAGACCCCACCATGTAACTCTTGTTCCCGTTGGCTCTGTTCTTTTTTTTGAAGTACATTAATACCCAGGAATTGGGCTTAATTGCGCTTGCGTCGTTCACGTCAAATGCCATTTTTGCTTGCGTAACTTTGACATATTTTGCAGCTATAAAAGCACTGATTTCACTTACTGTCATCTGCTGCTGGTGCTGCCATTTTTGCACTATGATTTAATGTCCTAGCAGGAATCCTGGCTATTATTTGTACTTGTGAAGTGTTTATATAAAGTATTTATGCTTGTGGAGTCATCATTTGCTCATGCTTGGTTTGACTTTGTAATCTTAATGTTACTTAAGATTATATTATATTATTTTGTAATATCTCACATATACATATATAGAGCTTGAGAAGATCCATCTGTTTTCCAGCTGGTTATCCAGAGCAGGGTCATGGGGGTGTTCCTCATGCAGCCCAGGATGTACTATGGCCTATTTATAGACACCAGTTCAGTCAACTGCATGTCTTTGGACTGCAGAAGGAAACCTGCACTGCACAGGGGGTCCTCCACACATTCAGGGTGGGGGTAGGATTGAAACCAACCACACAAGGTGGTGTGAGGGAATTAGAAGATTTATTTAACAGTGGGTTGGGGGGGGTTGCATTTTAGATTTTTGCATTTGCATGCTACCTGTCTAAATTTATATTTGTAGGCATGATTCTGTTACAAAATTATCCTAGTAAGCCAGGGGGGGGGGACTGGGTCATGGAAGGCCAGTGTGGGGGCGGATTTTTGGGATGATCTCTGAATCAGCCAATAATAAAACAGTGCTTCTCGACTCTAGTCCCGAGGACCCCATGCTATTGGCTGATTGAGAGGTCATCCCAAAAACCTGCACCCACACCGGCCCTCCATGGAACAGGTTCCCCACCCCTGCAGTAAACAATGATGGAATCTTGGGTTTCTTGGATCAGAAAGCATGTAAGAGCCTGCAGGGTATGCAGGTTATATGATGGGCACAGTGAGATCAGTGTGAAGAAGTGCTGAGAAATGGGAAAGTGTCTTCCTGTTCAGTGACACCCATGTCTTCTAATGGGGGAGGGGGTCTCCTTAGCAGAGCTGTAACTGAGTCTGGGGGGGGGGGGGTAAATGGATAAATAACTGAATTAAAGTCAAACTGAGAGCCAGGAAGGGCTTTGAAGAACAGGGGCCACATGCAATTTTGTAAATAATTAAGAATGATGCAATACGAATGAAAATGAGGAGGACCTTTGATTAGTCGTATTTTTTTTTGTATACTTTGATAAACCTTATTGTCCTATTGCCTTATTGTTTAGACAAAAGAAGGTGACATTTTACTTAAGTTTCATTAAGATGGGGCTTAAAATGACAGGAGCCTAGCTTATTTTAGAGGAAATTCCAGCAGAATTTCCCAGTAGAAAATTCATCTGGGTTTTTACAGCTGAGCTCGTCTGCATTGTTTTGAGCAGCCTAATTAACGCTGCTGATGTTTGCTGCAGACCAGTGCAGATGGCCAAAAACCATTTGTAACTGATTCATTGATTCAGCTTGATGCATACTTATCTATACATGAGATCTATTTACATCATCTTCAGATTGATGTAGAAAGACAAAACTTCCTTCCAGTCCAGTCTGGAAATCCCATCCGGTAATCCATGTCCATGGACATTCTGTGATTATGTTAAGTGTTAGCAATCTGATTTTAGTTCTGTGGTAACATTTCTCATCCGTGTGATTTGTCTATTCACTAGGACACAATTTTTGAATCAAAATATGTAGTAGTTGCAAACTTTAGCAATATCAAAGTGTACTGTCCCATTTAAACAATACCTCCATACTCTCTTTATTTCCCACGTGTAATTTGTTCACTGACAGATTCTCAGTTCGCCCTCTTACAGCACGTGATTCCATTGATTTTTTTTTAAACTGACCACAGACCCTTATCTTGAGCGTACTAGCAAGGGCGTTATGGTGCTCAAAGAAACCATCCCTCTTCCATCAGGGTTATGTCCAGCTCTTCCAACACCGATCCCTCCTGCTTCCCTCTCTCCCCTTAATATGCTGCAGCGCTAGACAATTTGCTATATATTTTCACAAATAGAGATAATTTTCTTCTGCTGCCCAGTAAAAACCCCATGAGAGCTGAGCACTGTGAAGCACTGCTGTGATGAGTGTGTGGGACCCACTGGCTGCAGAAACAGCATTGCAGTAATTCTGTCAGAGCTGAGATGACAACACAATTCTCTCCACTAACCCCATCATTCATACTGTAAAAGGACCCTACTGCACAAACACACCATAGCCAAATGGTATGAGTAAATTATGTATGTAAATTATGTTTGAAGACAGAACACTGGATTTTTTTTTCTTGTGATGCCTTGATCTGGTCTTGTACTCAACACTGGCAATGAGGTTCTGATGGTGTCTGAAGAACTGCATCTACATTGATGATTAATTGGGTGAATCTTTGATATCAAACTCATTTTGTGATTCTTGGTCGTTTGAATTTATTTAATGACCACCTTGTTTAATTTTGACTACATTATGCTTGATGTGCTATAACTATTAATTAGACTTCGTAATGATCAAGGCAATGATCCCCGTTTACAACAAATAAATACAGCCATTCTCCGAATGCTAATCTAGGGCTGCGTACTGCAAAGAAATGTGAGACGTAAATAGCTGGTTGAACTTTTTAGGTGGCAAAAATTCTGATATTGAAATTGATATTTAAAATGTCTTGCTTTTGATACAAAATCTGTGTGCGCTGGTGTGCTGTTCAGGGATGTTTCAATAAAATCTTTGAAATACAGATATCAGAAATACAGAGAATCACATGAGAGTAATAAATGATCATCATACCAGAGTAATAGATGCACATCACTTGGGAGGTAGAAATACAGAAAGTAAATGCAGGTGGAGTTCAGAATAATGCAAATAAATCATATTAAACCGCTGTAGCAGCAAAAAAAAGAGCAATTTATTTGTATAGTTTTCCTGTTTTAGCCCAGTAAATTAATTGCATGCTTGACTCAGATACTAAAGATACTACTGCTGATTAAAATGGAAAGAAATACCAGTGTAAAGCCACACGTACTTGTGTTGCTCATATTCTAATCGATGCGAGTTGCTGTATTGACTGATCGCTCCTGTCAGTGACTCGCCCGTGACTCGTCCGTGACTCGTTTGCCTTTCCTGCACACCTTTGCAGGCCCGGGGCCCATTGCAGGTGCTGATGGGATGGACAGGATTAAAGTCATCAAGAGGCGCCTATCCATGTCGCTGCGTGGCCCCAGACCCACAGACGAGCCGCTGGACGAACAGACGGAGTCGGCCCCACCCGAGGACCCACCCCTTCCCCAAGCCTCGGGTAAGCCATCCCCTGGGGGCTCATTCTATCTGGGCCCCCCCCTCCTCATATGTTTCAAAATGTAAATAAATAACTTTTATTTTACAGTGAGTACAGTTAGAAGATGGTAGCTAGCTGGTTAGCAGAACATGCTGCTTCAGCATCACCTAAATAAGGTACAGATATGTTTAATGGTACACATACAGTATATTTAATATTTAGTGTAGTGACTGTTTGTGGTCAACAGGGGACCCCAAGCATTGCATTGCTTGAGTGGTGGTAAACTTTGCCACTGCTTACATGTTTAGCCAAACCTCCATCTATGAGAAAGAGGGTCCTGGAAATACCATACCGAGGTATCACATGGGTCTCTTGTGGGACACCGTCTCATCCTGGCATTCCAAGCATACGGCTGTTTGTTCTTGTCCTGAAAACTGCTGAATCACTCCTTTTAGTTAGATTCTGACTTGGACTGCCCTCGCAAATGGAAGCAGATTTGAGTTTGGCCCAGAGGTATCGTATCGAGTAAGTTTGCCGCTAGAATGGCTGCGGGTAGTTTGGCTAGAGGAGGAAGCAGCATGCATTACTTCTGCTCAGCATGAGAGATTTATTATCTTCATTATGTGATTGGAGAAAAAAATAACGTTGTGTGGATAAATTATTTCCTGGACTCTTGGGAAGAAAAAAAAAGAAGTTAAAATGCAAGCTTTGATTTGTTTATACTACAGATTTTCAATTAATTTTGGGCACAGCACAAAATTCTTAATTGCTAATGACTGCCACCCACTGTCATCCATTTAATGACGAGATGTTTATTTTAAATTGTATTACTTGGGATAGTAAATTTGTATCAGATGTGTGATGCTGGATCTGATGACAACGTTGACTGGAGTGACCGTCTGTGGAGGCTCACATTTGCAAGCAGTCGGTGGTGAAGTATGTCGCTAAGTCAGTGTTCCTCAGGAAACCTCAGATGGTCCACGTTTTTGCTCCCTCCCAGCTCCCTTACCGAGGACCCTTACTGAAAACTTGGTTGAGAAACATTGCTTTAAATTTAAATGAAATCTTCATTAGGCTGTATAACCCAGGATGCAGTCCTTGAAAGGCAGCCTGGTGGATTTTAGAGACACTGGTGGAGATGTTCCCTGGCAATCTTGCTTCATTCGATGAGATTAATCGTGCGGAAGGCCGATTTGCAAATGCCAATCAATCCAGAAGCTGGTTGGCATCACAGAGGTGAAATCACACAATCAGCACCTCCGAAGAGGAGCTCAGCTGCAGTCAGAGAGATCCTTTGACCAGGGCGTGAAGTGAGTTTTTTGCTCGGGCTGTCGGCTACCTGCCTGCTGACAGGGAAGACGACTAATGGAATCGCATGGGAGTACAAGGTTTTCAAAGCGAGCTGAAATGAAATCAGTCAAGCTTGATGCGAGAGCCTTAATCTTCACATCCACTCCTCCCCATGCTTCTGTCTGTCTCTCTGGTGGTCCCTGCTGCTCCTCCACTCTCACTGCCTACAGACCTTCCCGTTCTCTGCTTGTCTGCTCCTTAAACTTCACACCCCCTTCCTGCTCTCCACCCTCTCTCTCTCTCTCTCTCTCAGATCCGGTGGTTTGTCCTGCCTTACGACCCACCCTGTGCCCCTCCTCACACCCTGCCTCGCACAGCGCCCCCTCCTTCCTGCGTCAGTATGCAGGTCACCTGGGACGAACAGCCCTGCGCCGGGACCCCAGGGGTGTGCTGGAGCGCTCCCAGCTGAACCTCTACAGGACCGGATCTCTCGGTGAACCCTCTCTGTCTTTCTCTCTCTCTGGTTGCCGTTATCCCTCTCTCTCTCTCGCTCTCTCCTTCTCTGCCTCTCTCAAGGTGATATATTGGTATGTCACGAGACAATCATTTCACCAAAAACATGACATAAAAACATATTTCATGTAACTGGAAACACTGGCAGCATCCATTGGCCATCTTTATAATTAGTTAATAACACTGGAGTAAAATAAATAAACATCTCACAATAATTCCTTAATCTAAAATAAGTAATACAGTAAAACCACAAAAGGCTCCATTTACTGAGCATTTGCTGCCTGCAACATTCCAAATATTTTTATTTAACAGCATATTAACAGAACATCTGTTTCACTGCATGTGGTTCCTAAGTGTTTTATAGCTTGAATCTCACTTCTATGCAGTTATCTATTAATAACACTGAGCATTCCTGTGACTGGTGCGACTTGGTATGTTTTCTGAGGGTGTAATACCAGGTGCATGCTGGGACTTGGGACTGTTCCCTGTCATTTGCGTTAAATCCTTGTCCTTAATTACCCCGATTCCGAGGCTTGGCGTAGCCCCCGATCACGCACCAATCACATTAGCTGCAAAGCAGTTAGTGTATAAGCATGGTAAGAAGGCCTTGCCAGGCTTAGGGACTGTCGCAGTGGTGAGTATCTGCAATTCTGTAATGGCTGCAATTCCTGATGGTTGTTGATGCCATTCACCTAGAGCACATAATCCAGTAGGACCCTCAGGCAGGCCACATTTTTGCTTCCTCCCAGTTCCCAGCACACCTTAACCAAGCAGTCAAGAACACAGAATACTTGGTACAAGTATGTAAGAGCTGGGAGGGAGCAAAAATATCAGTTGTCTGAGGGGTCTGAGGGGCCCCTAAGGACTGGGCTGGAAAACACTGGTGTAAACTGTGTGTTTTACATTTCTTTGTTTGATGAAAGTGAACTGAGGCTCAGCATTGTAGCTGAAGCAGCTGATGTGTATGTGTGACAATACTGGCAAAACTTGAGTGGTGGTATTAAACAGCAGTATTAAGTACAAAATTAAAGGAACGGTAGTGAGGATGATCATAGTAATGGTGTGTGTCCCTTTCATTTCCTGTCTCTTTTTTCTGAATCACTGTGTTCACTCTGATTAGTGTCTCATTTACCTTGTTGGCCTGGAACTGGGGAGGATTATTATTATTATTATTTTATTAGCTTTTCTGAGCTGGGTATTTTTGCGTTCTCAGTGTTATGTGTCATAGGTTTGTCATTTTTGATGCTTTCAGCTTTTCCATCGGATTTCCATTGGATACTGGCTTAGTTGGATTAAATAAAATCAATGCAGTGGTAACTTGGCTTTTTGCATCATGTTGCCATTTGTTGAGGGCGAAACTCTACATGTATCATTTTCTCCCCGCTGGTTATTTACTGGAACGGTCACATTCTGACCCTTTTCATTGGTGAATGACTCAGAAATGTACGATTCCCAACATAACTAGCAGCAGGCCTGCTTTACCTGTAGCTAAATTTTCTGGAGCCACATGGCAAAGACAGTTACGTACATTCATGTGAAGTTATTGGTGCTGTTCACCTGGGAAATACTTATTCTGCTATTACAACTGTTCACTATTAGTATATCTTGTCAGTTCAATCATTAAGATTGGCATTTAAGAGTCTACCTTAGTTTTTTATATATAAAAAGAATTTGGGATATGAAGGTTACATGTTATACAGGTAGTATTTTATGGTTTTTAGTGCTATTTTGTGTTTACGTTCTTAGCTGTGTAGCAGACACTTTTAATGGATGTGTGTTTTTATTCCACTTTGAATATAAATTTGCATTTGAATGCAGTTCATGATGATAATCATGCCAGGTCTCTTGATAGAGCTGTTCTCTGCCAGCCTACTTCCTTAGCATCCCTGCTAGCTGCTTTCCCCAGCGCTCCCCTGGCCTGCTTTTGCTGCTACTCCTCTGTGCTGCCGGAATAAACTTCCTGTGTGTTGTGGTGCCGTCAAGGTGAAAAGATGGACGCTTCTCAGCTGCGTCAGCTGTATCGCTCGGCCGCGGCTTGGTGCGTGTCCGTCCTTGGCCGTGTGTCAGGCTCAGTCATGGCTGTTTGCCTCAGATAAAAAGATTTTTAATTAATGCACAACTTGTTATAATTTGTTAGCATCTGCTAGATGTGAAAAACTGAATGTAATTTTTTTTTTTCGATTTGATAGATGGGCAGACTCACCCATTGCCTCAATGTAGGACACCTTCTGACCAGGACTGTTACTGCATAAGGCAGAAAACTGTGAAGCTGTGACTACTGACTGCTGCTCCGCAAGTGTGGCAGGCATCGTCATTTGTTTAAGCTGGGCCCTTCTTAGTACAAAGCGCCCCCTGGTGGTGCTGGCTGGTAGTGTTGCTGCAAGGGCCAGAATGCACCACATCGAAAGGTCTCGCTGAACGAGATGTGTATGTGAAATGACTTTCTGCCCAACGTTTCATAAATGTGGCTTTCACGCAGGACCTTTTGGAGGTATGGCTGTTGGTTGGTGTGGCCACTGCAATATATTAAGAAGGTGCTACTTGTCAGTATAAGTTTTCCTTATATATTTGATATTTAACACACTTGAGAGGCTGGATTATGCAAGCATACACAGTGCCAGCATTTAGCTGCTGGAGTTTAATGAGAGAGAGGTCTGTTTGCTTAGCCTCTCTTCTCTTCACAGCTGTAGTCCTGATTGTTTACAGTCCCCTCCAGGTACAGGAGGTGGGGTGTGTGACTAGGGAATACTTTCAGGTTTGTAATGCTTCTGAAGTCATTAGCAAGGCAAAGGACCAACCCTGGCCAATCAGTCATGAGGAGGGTGAAGGAACGGACGTCTGCTGAAGCAATGCGCTGACTCCAGATCAGCTCTTAGATCAGGATCAGCCCCCTGGGTGTCTCTAACCTGCTGTGGAGTGTTGGATGGGGGCCACGCACTGCATTAGGTGTTAGTGGTGCAAGCTGCACTCCACTGGAGTATCCCCTGCTAATACGGCCTGGCGGAGTTGCTGCACCTGGCACTCCACTGGCCTGTATTCTTGCCTGCATGCGCTGACACGTGCCAACATGGAGACATGAGCTGGGCGTGTGGGATCACAGTGTCGTACGCCGTCAAGACATACATTTCTGGGGCATCAGAAGTGCTACATACGATGGATGGACATTAAGCATATAAATACATTTTGAGGGTGTGGAGGGAATGGAAGACCAGATGGAAGGAGGAAGAGAATGGAGAGAGAATGGATAGTATAGAAGGGGGAGGGAGTCTGCCTGGCTGGCTGTACCTCTGTGCTTTATGAATAGCATTCAGTCATTTCTGACTTGTTCTCTTGGTTACTGGTGCGATTGTTAGTGTATACATGTGGTATCTGTGTTTGTATGTATACTTATGTGTGCTGTTTTATTCATGTATCACAAAAAATAATGATTTCTTTCAGTGGACCAAGAAGAGGAAACCGACCTAAAAGAGGTAATCGACAGGCAGAGAGACAAACAGGCCGTTTCGGAGAAGGAAAGGCCTTAATTCTTGTTTGGCTGAGAAATATGGGAGACTGAAATGAACAAACTGCAGTATGGCTGTCGTGGCTGCAGATGGCGCTGGATAGTCAGGCTGTAAATTCATTGACATACACAGCAAAGAGAGATTAAAAGCGGTCATGGGATAGCTAGGCATTTTCCTGTCTGGGTGAGTGTAGACCCTATATACTTCTGGCGCCGGTTACCTACAGATATCACTAGGCAGAGCAGCAGTGTATCAATGCAGCACCACAGATGCTAACTCGGAAGTGCTTTATTAGGCTTCTGTTGTCACTTATTAGTCTAATGTGTCTGGCAGCATTCCTGGTCTGCTAATGTCTACACAGCACTGTTTGATTTTATTACATTTGGCTGTATTTTCATAGGGGTGTGACTGTGGGTTGGATTGACCTTCCTCTGCAGGGGGATTTGCATGCCAGTGGTTGTCAGAAAACACTGGAATTGTGACGCATATCAGCCACTCACGGGGACATTATGCTCTTGTGTTTTTGTCACAGGCATCGTCCATGAGAACGGCAAGGGGACCGCAATGGGCTCAGATGGCGAGAGCGACCAGGCATCCGGCACGTCCTCGGATGAGGTCCAGAGCCCAGTGCGGGTGCGGTTACGAAACGGCAACCATCGGCGCATCGCGGAGGTAACACGCAGCCTGCTTCTGCACACGTCACATATGACCACTGAAGATTCAGTGCAGGTTCTCTGAAGGTTTTTTAAAGGTTGTATTTATATATTTATTTTTGTATAAACATGTTTTTCCTTCTTACCAGGGGATACAGTACCATTTCAGTCACCCTCCTTATTGGAGAATTGAGTTATGTTATTTGATTTCCCCAGAAAAGTGCCTTGTATGAATTGTTTTGGTAAAAGTTTAGTAAATATAATTGGTTTCATTTATCGATTCTGCTCTTTCCCTGTTTTCTCCTGTTACTCTTTCAATTCTTTCCTCTCTTCTCATTCCTCTCTCTCTCCAAGATTTAATTAATGAGGAAGTCTTTCCATCCCCTCCCTTTCTCCTTTCCCATTCTCTCCCTGTGCCCCCCCCCCACGTATGAATTATACTCCCATACCTATGAATGAGCAAGTCATACTCTTCCACGCTTAACGCGAGACACACTCCTTGATCTCTCCAATTGTGCGAGTCATAGTCCCACCGTCTCCCTGAGTTCGAGTCAAAGTCCCGTTACTCTCCTGAGCCTTGGACTCCACGTGAGTCGAGCCTCTTCCTGACTTCCTCAGGACATCAACAAGCGTCTCTCCCTTCCGGTGGACATCCGGCTGCCAGACAGCTACCTGGAGAAGTTCGCCATGAGCGGGCCGCCCTTCGCCAAGCCCATGAGCCGCCGGCTCCGCCGCGTCTCGCTGGTGAGGGCCCGCGGCTAGCTTTACCGCTATCGCTCGCTGCCTAGCCTTTAGCGTCTGGTGTTCCTTAAATGTGCATGCTGCCTGCAAGCATTTAGTGCATTTAGTGCATTTAGTGCGCTACGCCGCCAATGGAGAGCACTTAGCCCCGTGTGATGCCTAGCAATACATCATGCTGATGGAAGCCTAGTGACAGGAGGCCCTTAGCGCAGGATCTCGATGGTGGCTGCTTAATGTCACAAGAGACCCTGCAACTGGTGCCTCCGGCTTATTCCCTGCCGCTTGCCTCCCAGTCTTGCTGGTGAATCTAGCTGAGAGCAATAAAATAAATTTCAGACAGCTTTTAAATATGTATGCTGCCCCAATGCTGAAATTCCAAGTTAATAAGAGAGATTTCAGCAGGGGGCAGCGCAGAAGCTCTGTGGGTAGGACCATCATCTCAGACCTCCTGGGGTGCAAGGTTTACATCCCACTTGCACTGTGTGGGGTCCAAAGACAGTACAGTTAGTGTAACTGGCATCAATGAATTGCCAGTAGTGTATGACTGAGTATGTACAGGCCTTGCAGTGGTCTGGCGTCCCATCCAGCATGTACTCCAGAGAACCCTATGTCACATGTACAGTGGCTCAACACATATCCATGATCACTAATTCCAGATGTAGGTTACTGTTTGGACGCATATTAAATTAAGCTGAATTTATGTGATTTTGTGTACAGAAGCGATGCCACATGTATTTTGTCACCCCAAATGGGGTAGTATTGTGGGAAAGGATGAAAAAGCCCATGAGATGCAGCCCAGAAAATCTGAGTGGTTCTAGATCGAGGCCCAACTACTTCCTGAAACTTTCAGAGACCCTGATTGGCTTTCTCGCTTGCAGTCTGAGATCGGCTTTGGGAAGCTGGAAACCTACACCAAGCTGGACAAAGTGGGTGAGGTAAGATAGCCACATGCAGTGAAGTTCAGTCCACAGGGGGGCGTGGTAGACGAAGAACTGGACTTGCGTCCAAAACTGCAGCCATATAAGATGCTGGCCCTGTCTTGTTTATCTGTCCCTTCTCCCATTTGCTTGATTTCAGGGCACCTACGCTACAGTGTTTAAGGGTCGCAGCAAGCTGACGGGCAACCTGGTGGCACTCAAGGAGATCCGTCTGGAACACGAAGAAGGAGCGCCATGCACCGCCATCCGAGAGGGTAATGCCATGCATAGCTAATCAGCAGCTAGGATCGCTCCTCATGGCCAACTGGCTACAGGCAAGGGGGATTTTCAATTTGTAATGGTTCACAGCATTTTTGACTGATGTTTCTTATCAGCCATTATGCAAGTTGCAGATATGGACACCAGGTGGTGTAATAGTTCATCAGACTAAAAGCTGAATTGATAAAATCCAAATTGAGACATTCCTCTCATAACTCTTGACTGTTGCGGTTAGATAGAATAAACTTCACCACAACCATGTAATTTGCAAAGAGGGGCTCAACAACATGACAATAACAATAAGTGCAAAATTAATAGTAAAGGATTCAGCTAAAAACTGTGATAAATTGGCTGGCGATGGAGGTGTAGGCATCCGTCATGTTTCAGTCCTCCCTCCCTCCTTCAGTGTCTCTCCTTAAGGATCTGAAGCACGCCAACATCGTCACCCTCCATGACATCATCCACACGGAGAAGTGCCTGACTCTGGTGTTTGAATACATGGTCTGTAGGCTTTGATCTCTATGCATTTTTGCGTCCGTGTTAAGATGGGGATCAGGGGGGTGGGGAGGGGGGGGGATGTAATGCTGAAAAAAGTCAACCTCTGTCCTGTCAGTTCCTCTCCATCTGATTAAAATAGAATGAATTGTAAAAAGTAAAACTTAAGGTGATTATTTAATGTAGTAAGTGGCATAGTTGATGAAAATAGTAATAACTGTGAAATAGCTGATATTGAAAAATGAAATAAGATAAATTGACAGTAACAAGTTTGTTATTAATGTGGTCATTCCATGTCCCCAGGACATGACACGCAAAGTAAACCAAAATATACCTAAATACAGTGGTACCTCGGTTCTCAAACTCACTAGAACTCGAATTTCTTGAAAGTCGAACAAACCAGTTTGATCTAGAACTCGATCTGAATATCAGAAGTCGAACCGTGAACACCAACCTAATATAAATTGTAGGAAATGAGTCATACTACAATGCAATTCTTACTTGAATGCCTTCTTCACAGACTGGACGATTAACCAAATAAAGCAGC